CCTTGGTAGTAAGGAATAGGGAATCCTTCTCTGGCTAATTTGATGGCAGGTTGAAAGAGGTCGGCCCACGGCAACTTCCCATAAAGCCGGTGTGCTGCTTCATAACCTCGAATTTCCCCAGGAACCCCAATCCATCTGCTATCTGGTTAGATAGATAATGGGTAGTCAGGGCTGGAAAGTCACACATACATTTGCTCGTGTTTTGAGTAAACTGTAAGGTCCTGAACTTTAATGATCTGAGATGACATTTGTTATAATTTGGTGCTTTGTAAATTCTATTCTGCTCCATTTCAGAGGGAAACACTGTAATTTTTAAATGCGTGTCTGTTTGTAACTGATTATGTTAGAGATAACATTTTGCATCCTACACTTACTTTTAGTTTATTTCACTATATTTACATATTTACACTATTTCTGGCTTAAAGAAGCATTTAGCATCTTATACCTACTTTTCTTACTGTTTATGCAGCCTGTGTGCAGGAGTGTAGCACAGAACTCTGGACCCTTTAAATAAATGGTGGCTGGAGCCCCCTTTCTTTTCTCGATCCATCGTTCTCACACATATTTTAATTTCTATTTTCTTTATTTATTTATTTTATGTCTGCCACAAGTGAACTGCAATAATAAACACTCCCAGTTCGTATTGCTGTCCATCCCATAGGTCAAAGTCAACACACTATAGACAATCAGGAAGTAATGCAGGAAGGTCTTTTGTACTCTGCTGACAGCAACATAAGGGACAAGGACATGTGCATCCACAGCAGCCTGTGTCTCTGTCCTCAAAAGATCTCACAAGATCTCCAGCTTCACCTCCACAGACAGATAATCTGCCACAGAACGAGTGAAGATTAGCCAAAGCAGAAACAATGACTGATAAAGATGGACTTGTGAGGAAAGTTAAGATTTGTCCTGGGGACCAGAAAATGGGAAAGATGGACAGCATTCTGGCAAGCTGTCTACACAAATCAGAAAGTTCCCGAACCAGAAGCCCTGGATCAACGGTCAGGTACGACACATGCTGCGTACTCGCTCTCTTGCATTCAGATCAGGCAATGAGATGGAGTACAAAGCTGTGAAGTGCAGACTGAGTAAAGCCATTACAGCGGCTAAGAGGCAGTACAGAGAGAAGCTGGATAGCTTCTATTCGTCTGCTGACCCCAGGCGGATGTGGCAAGGCACATCACAGAATATAGGGCCACCACCAACACCATCAGCTCCGCAGGCGGTCTGCTGGAGGATCTCAACCCGCTTTACACCTGCTTTGAGACCCCCCAGACCTCCCAGATCCTCCACGCCTCCCATATCTCCCAGAACCTCTAGACCTCCAAGACCTTCCAGAACCCCCAGATTACCTGACCCTCTCCCCCGCCAGCGGTCTCAGTAGACCAAGTGTACAAGATCCTGAGGAAGATCAACCCCCGCAAGGCAGCAGGACCAGACAACATCCCTGGACGAGCCCTTAAAGCATGTGCTAACGAGCTGGCTGATGTTCTCATCTCCATCTTTAACCTTTCCCTCAGTC